AGTGTTGCACAGTTAGTGTACCTGTGGTGGTAGTACAAAATATAGCCTTCAGAAAGGTATATTTAATCAAAATAAAGGAGTAAACAACATATTTCTTTATAAATTGAGACAGTCAAAGGCAGCATCCTGTCTCGCCAGTAGATCAGTGGAAATTTCTAGTTATTGGTGGTGCATTCTCAAATTAGTATCAGTAGTTGCATATAGTTAGATGAAACTTGTCATCCTGAAGGCTATCCAAAAATTTTCCAAGTTTTATATAGAAAACCTTGCATGTTTTAGCTTTGTTTTTGCAGTGGAATGTGGCAGCTGTTAAGACTGGCACTTGTTACCCAGCAGTAGATTAGGAAAGGAAGATCAGTATTTGAACTAGCTGAAAGTGCTGGAGGAATTTAGAGGCACAACTAGGGTCTGATCCAAAATGTGTTAACTCTGACAAGTATCTTTCAGGCAACAAACTTGGTAAGAGGTCTGGGAAAGCATATTCTATGAGGAAAGGCTGAGGACACTTCGGTTGTCTAGTCTGGAGAAAAGAAGGCCTACTTTTACTGCAGCTTCCAAGCTGCCTATTGTGACTGTAATTTCCTGATGAAAAACGAAGCTCTTCCTGGAGCAAAAGGCTTTAAACATGAATTAAGCCAATAATCAAGTCTGTGCAGCGGCATCACTCTTAACTGCTTTGCATTACCTGCTCTACCTGCATTTTGCTTTACACATTTCCTGCAAGTATTGTAGACAGAGGTGGAATTACTGAGTTGATTTAGGCTCCTAAATCTGATGTTACAGACCGTAATCTGGAACAGATTGCAAAAGATAATTAGTTAGGTGCCTGGTGGGATTTTCCACTGTCTCGGAAATGAGGACACTTCTGCAAATTCTCAGTAGTGACATATGACCTTGCATTTGCTTTGAACTGGTGAGACGTAAGTTTGTAAATGATGCAGAGCCTGTAAATGACTCATGCACACTGAAATGAACACCTCCCTCAACTCAGTGTTGCCGTGTCTTTAGCCACCTGTTAGCCTCTGATCTTGCAGAAGAGTCAGCAGATGCGAATACCCGCCTGTTTTCAGCTGTACCAGTTTGTAGTCCAGTCTGTTAAGACAAATTGCTTTCATCAGCTGTTACCTTACCTGATTAAAGTACAGGGCTAAGCTGTGGACCTGAGCTCACATCTGCTACAGACACAGTAACATTTATCTGGAGGGACAGAGCAGACTGACAGACATTGTAATCTCTTAAAACTACTGCAACCCTACTCTCAGAATCTTCAGTTGTGCTGGTTGAGGGGCTTGTGGGCACCTGAGGTACTAAAGAAAATATTTTGCAAGGGCTGGAGAAACAACAACAACCAAAAAAAACCAAACAAACAAACTGTAATGTTCTCTGGCTTCTGAGACCCTTTATTTCTTCTAGGATCCCCTAGAAGATTGGTAAGTTTACTTTGTGGTGCTCCTTTATAAACCGTGCTGTACCAGCAGGAAAAGTAGCAGTCAGACAAGACAGCATACAGCCCTCATTGTGTTTTAAGTTAGGATTATGGTGCTGTCATTCCACCCAGGCTAGGGCTGCAAAGACACTTAAGGAAATGGCAGTGTGCATTCTTCATCTTAGACAGGGTGGGGTTGAGCAGCACTGGGAATTCATAACGAGATGCACCACTTCACCTGGAGATCGCTGGTTCTCAGCTGTGACTTGGAGCTGTCAGCAGTTGCTGCCTGGGGAAATCAGTTCAGTGATCTCAATCCAACTCATTAGAGGCAGGTGATTACATCAGACGTCCTCCCGGCTCTCGTTTCCGCTTGAAGCAAGGTTCTCAGGCATGGTGACTGGTGATGGAACCCCGTGGTGATGCCTGTCTCTTTCTGGATGGCAAGTGGATTCTGGAGATTCAATCTCTCCTAAGTACGCTACACATTTAGCCTGTTACAGCTTGCTTACAGGGTCCCCGATCTAAATTCATTTAACTAATGCAGGAAATGTAAGTAATTCTTTCACACTGAGCTAATTTGACTTCAGGTCAATTCAGTTCTGAATAAGAGTTGTGACATGGATCTTTGAAGTGGTTTAACTAGCTTGAGACTAATTTTCTTGAGCATCCGCATGTAAGTAGACATACCATTGACTTAAAGTGGTCTGGAAGAACACAGAGAACAAGTGAGCACTGGTCTGCAAAGACATGAGTGGTACAAAGCTGTGGTGGATGGGTGAGCAGGCATGGGAGGGCACTGTGCAGAATGTGAAATCCAGGTTTATGTCTCCCTTCTGGAAAGTGTGTTTTTGGTGTAGAAGCTGTTGTTCTACTGCTGCTGTACTGTTTGTGATTCCTGTACTGAAGTAGTTTGTACATGGCTATAAGGTGATCACGTCCAACCTTTGAGCATTTTGTGACCAGAGTAAATTGTGCATTTAACTCAATAGGCAGCACAATTAATTAACGTGCAAATCAGACATGAAGGAGCCATTGCTATGAACACAGTTATGTTGAAATGCTTTAACAAGGTGTTTCCAAAAGAACGTGAGAAAGTGTCCAAGGACAAGGATGTGAATCATGGAAGCTGTTATATGAGATTTTCTCATAGAACTGTGTTTTTTTTTCCTATTGATCTGAAGTGAAACTTGTACATTTCATAGCTTTTCAGACTAAGCAAAACTGAAGATTTTTTACATACAGTCTCAGAAAAGTCCAGTTGGACTTTTGCATACAGTGTGACAACAGATGGGTTTTAATTTCTATGAATATGCAAGTTGAGTGCGTGCTTATAATCTAAACTTCTTAACTATGCTGAGCTGCAGATTTATTGCAAGGAAAAGGTCAGCGTGGATAGCTTGAAGAATATAATAATCCTTGCCACAGTGGAGGTCTAATAGCAGCAACTGAAGGAAAAAATAAACAAGAAATTTTATAAAATATGTGGACCAGTTTTAGTGACAGAATGGCAATAGATGATTTACTTTATACTGCCATTAAAGTAAAGCAAATCATTGCTGTCCTACTTGGTTACATTCAGAGAGGGAATGTAATGTGGTTTTCTTGTTTGTTTGTTTTGGTTTGTTTTGGTTTTGTTTTGTTTTTGCTATAGGAGGCATTGGCTATAGCTCCTAGCAAATGTAGTTTAAGTCAAAATTCTGCCCTAAAATTCTCTGAAGCTATCTGGAGTCATTTTTTGACTTGAAATCATTGCATTATGTTTTCCAGCCATTTCCTAGAAAAGAGGTTCATAGGGTTGCCAGGCTTATGTTAGCGTTGTCCTGTTTTGGAAAACGCATCAGGAATGGTGAGAGTTGAGATTTTCCTGAATCGAGCAAACTGTGCTCAGCCAACTCCAGAGAAGACACAGTCCTGTTACATGCTTACACACTTTCTTTTATTCAGGACCATTACTATTTTCTAGTGAATATATGACATTCTTAAAAGTGAGTTGGATCCATGCTTATCCAGCCATAGAAATTTTCCCGATTTTTAATGTAATCTGAGGCCAGGTTCTACACTAATGGAGTCATCTGATTTAAGGCTCCTGAAACTGACCCATTTTACAGCTGGCAATGGTTCTGCCACATAAAATAGTTCTGATAATTTAACCTTCAGGTCCTGCAACTCTGTTACGTATATTGGATGTTGAAAATGACATCAGTAAAGATCCTCCTCTAGAGTTTACACAGATACGCTCTGCTGCGGTAGGATCCTCTCCCTGTTGACAGGTAGATGCATTGCAGAGAGTAAAGTATTGAAAAGGATCAGTAACATGCAAACCCTACAAGAAGGCCTTTTTTGGATGGAAGGTTTCTGGGAGTATCTGCTTTCAGAGACTTTTTACTAAATTAACATTTGGGTCCAATAAGCAATAAGTACAGTTTTACAGCAGTAGCCAGTTATTTGTTAATTTGCTGAATATAGTAAATAATTAATTTCAAGTTATATCTCTATAAAATAGTTCAGATGGCATTTGTTTAATTTTGGGGGAGTTAGGTTGTTTTTCCTCTCATAAAATTGTGTAGACGTTCTCAGCCAAAAAATACTTGGAATGTTTTTCTGTTGTGTTTTTTTTGTTTGTTTGTTTGTTTTTTTCTCACCTGCTTTTTCCCTTTAAATTATTTCTGGGTTTTCTCTACCTCTTGATTTTCAGTTTCTGCCACCTTATAATTCTTTATAGAATTCACGTCATTGTGGCCATTTCATGGGTCACTGAGAGCAGAGTACATCTGCTGGGAATGCTGTACTACAGGAAATTCTATATGATTGGAGAAATATTTTAAATGCTGAAGGAGATTCTTCAGAGAGCCTACTTTTACATTAAAACAGAATTTAAATGTGTTTTGGGCTCAATAAAACATGCAAAACTCCTACGTTCCAACAGATGATCATTAGATGCTTATTAATTGGGTGCTCAGTTGTGAGTTGTGTTTTTTTTTAACCACATGACAGGGTTGCCATCTCCATGTTTTACAAATTTTTGTGAGTTATTAGTCTACAAAACAAATAGCAAGTCAAAATTAGATGAAGAAATGTGATATATGTCATGGAGTCACCTTAAGCTATAGAGATCTTGCTTAGCATTTCCTTTTAGTGTGCTGCTCAGCATGTGGGTTTTCTTTTTTTTTTTTGACTCATCATATACCTTAGAGATCATCACTGATCACTTTTTCAAGGAATCTGACTCTTCCCAGTAACAGTTCAGAGAATTTAAATGCCTCATGCTGTCTGTGCCGCAGTCATCAACCCAACTTTCAGCAAGGTTAGTGGTATCTCATGTGGTGGTTTCCTCAATTAGATCTTTGCCTAGACTTTGTGGAGAAGATAGTTTGACCAACAGATACAGTATTTAATATTACTAAGAAAAACGAATAGTTGTTACCACCATAGCTATGATCCTTCTTTCCCAGACAGTTTTCGTGTCTGCTAGCTAGCCTGTGTCCACAATAAAAACATTACAGAGATGCTGTGTGAGAAAGGTTCACTCTTAAGTATCTAATATTCTACTTCATGTTCTATCCAACTTTAGTGTGCCCTCTGGATTTGAAGGTATAAAAGAACAAGAGATCTGCAACAAGATAATGACTAAAATGCTGGAAAGTTACAACACCTTGTTTGAATCGGAAGGCTTGAAGAAGGAAGAAGAAAAGCCGGTATGTGAAGAGCTATCAAGAATTATTTTGGTAAAAGTGAGTATCTCTAATATTGCACTTTTGTATAGCAAATCAATAGTGCAGACTTATTACAGCTTCAATTCAGAAATCTTTTAGATAAGTGGGAAGCAGGCGCTGTAATAATAATGTTCTTTGTTATTGATCTACAGCTTTACAAATCGATCCTCCTAATAGGCTAATTTTCATTACTAGTTGATTGAGGAAAACACTGTCTGTGTTCATGAGTCATTTAGTTGTCTCCCAAGGGCCCTGAAATCCTTTTTTTGATACACCTCAGGCTTCCTGTAGCTGCATCGTTGGTACCTACTTGAAAGATGAAGAGTGTTTAATAGTCCTAAGGCTGTATTATACTCAAAATCTTAGTGATAACATCCCTGGTTCAAGATCCAGGAATGCAGCAAACTTGTCTGTGAAGAAGGTCTGGTCTGCAGATGGGAGTCTCTGTTGCTTTGATAAAGGAACAGAGGCTCCTTTGTTTCTTCGTAGTGCTGGTTTTAATACTGTACTTGCTACAAGGCCTTGTTTGATCTGACCTTTGTTGATCTGACCTTGGAGGGAGAACTTGCCCAGATGCCTATTTTTCCATCTACACATCTCTGGTCTGGCATACCTAAAGCCTCGTATGTATTGAGTAGTGGAGGCTGAGCCTGCGGATGGGCTCCTCTTCTGGATCCATGCAGTAACTTGCTTCCACTCCTCTGTGTGGCTCAAGTTGCTGCCTTTATCCTGATGCAGGGTAGATACCAGGCCTACCTCAGAAGTGGCCATGCTAGGTAGGCATGTGTTGTGGTTTAACCCGGCAGGCAGCTAAGCAGCGCACACTCAGCGGGATGGGGGAGAGTCAAAGGAAGAAAAATAATGTAAAAGAGTAAAAGTTCAAGGTTTGAGATAAAGGTAAATAAGACAGAAAAGGAAGGTGAAATAATAATAAAAGAATATACAATGCAGTTGCTCACCACCCAATGACTGATGCCCAGATCATTCTTTCTCCCTGAAGTCTCTGCTGCCTTCACGTCATCCACTTTCAACCATGGTTTTTAAAGCCAACTCAGTCATGATTTCGGAGCAAATACCCAGAAACATGCCATCCCTATATTGGAAAGTGCTTCCTCTCATATGCCTGATGATGTTTACCAGCTTTATGAACTTATGCATCTCCTGACGCCTCATGAGCTGGGTATCTTAAGATTTTCACTCGCTCTTGGAAAAATCCACTGACTTAAATGCCAAAAGTAATGCTCTTTTAAACTGGAAACAAAAATGTGGATCTTGCAGATAAAGTCGTGAAAGCATGTACTTCTCTTTGAGCAGCGTATTAGAAAGGAAAAACAGAACTTAGGCGGAGCAAGTTGCATCTTGTTTACCATGTTGGTCATAGCTAGGGGAAATCCATAATGCTACAGACTTCTAGAAGGAGTAAGAGTATTTCAGTCAGGTACAGATTGTGGCATCTTAGAGAAAATCTGTTTTAAAGGAACAAAAAGTTAATTTTAGAGACGGGGAAAAGAGATTCTGATTCTGTAGGTGTGTTAGCTGAATTATCTTTTTTGCTGTGTTTATGAACTTAGGAGGTGCAGGTTACATCACACCAGTTATATCTCCTCTTTCAAAGATTGCTCACTCATTGGGAAAGACAAGTTGTGCCAGGTAAAGTGATTTCTTAGACTGTTTTCTCACTGGATCATAGTTCAGAAAGTAAGAGAGCAGAAATTTTCTGCAAGTTGCCTTCCAGTCCCTGCTTTGTTCCCAGGACTGTAAAACATCCTCTCATTCATTGCTCAGGCACACGTGTATGGTAAGATTATAGTTAGAAATGGTGGGGAATTTTTCTTTGGAAACCTCTATTTAGAAATAAAAAAGTGCCATTTTTACAAAACAACTTTTATCTTGGAACAGATTCCATTTCCCTGGGAAACTGAACTGCTTCCTGATGCCTTGCCTAGAATGGCTTCATTAGATTCTCACTCCACTTAGTAGAGTGAGATCCACAAGATCTTCTAGGCAGGTGGCTAGCAGGTAGAAATAAAATGTACTTCCTTCAGAAACACACATATTTATGGGAAATTCCTTCCCTAAAATAAACTTGATTTTTTTATTCCAAAACAGGATAAATATATTTAAGTATAGCAGGTCTCATTTGTAGCCAGCTATCATTACAATCTCTAAGACCTTTTTCCAAGCTTCAGTTTAATTTTCAGATCCATTGAAGGTCTGAAAGACTCTCAGGCTGTTGATTAATAGGATCTGCTAGTTAGAAATGGGTGGAGAAGTGGATTAAGTGTTCTGATTAGCTATCTGCTCAGTGTTGTCTTTCTCTGACTTGGAAGGACCATAAATATTTTTTTTTCGGGCAGAGTCAGGTGTGAACTGTTTATTCTTTAGGTATATCTGAACTGCTCTGTATTTATCACATTTTAAGTTTCAGTGGAGCATTATAAAATGTTTATGATTTGCTTTGGAGAAGAATTCCAAGAGCATTTAGTTATGGTCCTGATTGATTTTTGTGGCAGTGAACTGAGTGATAACTCAGGTAATTAAAGACAGTCAGTTTTGAGTTGCAGTACAGATTATTTTTTTTGTCTTGATTTAAGAAACCTACAGTAATAACAAAAATAATCATTCTGTACTGGGACTTTTATTTTCCAAAGAATTTAAAGTGTTTTTCAAACTGCAATTACATGTAGTCCTATATTGTACATCTAGACAGTGTTGTACTGTTACAACTGCAATAAAACAGAACCTTTGAATAACATTGGTAATGTTATTCATTAATGATCAAAGATAAGCAGTGAAGAGGATTTGGTTTGAGTTCCAGAGGCCAGGACAACCTGGACAGGCAAAGAATTATGAGACTCTTGAGAGATTTCTGGAATTACTGCCTTCGCTGGTTCCAGGTAAAATGTGCCATCTTTAATAGTATAATGCTTTTTAGGTCAGTATTTTAGAGCCCTTGCCATGCAGGGCTACAGCGTTGTGCTTCTTTTGGCTTTTTCTTTCCCTGCTTTTTCCCTCCAATGCCTTCTTGACAGAGCTTTGTTAGTTTTAAGAACCAGTCAGCTGAGAGCACATAAATGTTTGCACTGAGAAACAAGTACCAATATACTGAGGACTTAATGCTGCTCCTGCCTCGATTACATATTTGGGAAAGGAATGCAAAGGGCTTTCCCCTTCTTTCCCTATTGGATAGTAGAACATGTAGCCCTGTTCAACTGATGCAGGAGAGAGAGTAAGTCCGTTTATAATATTGAATTTATAACATGAAAATTAAAGTTAAAAATTCAAGTAAAATTATAAAGGTACAATTTTAACATTCTGAATGTAATCAAAGTATACTTTTGCTGGCCTCTGAACAGGGGGATTTCACTCCCTGAAGAGCTACAGAAATTAGTCTCTTTGGCTTTTGCAAAAATTAATAGTTTCAAAACAGCACAAGTAACTTCTTGCATTTTTATCCAGTTTGTTCCCAGCTTTCTAACAGAAGTAGCCACTTAAGTTGAGAGGTTTAGTTGTCAAAACAGATCTTTCTTACTTGAAATGACAGCAAAAATGCATGCACTGTGTTCTGCAAGCCTGCTGTTAGATTTTTAAGGAGGCAGGCAAGCCACCACCACATGTAGATACATCTGATGGTGCTTGGTGGGTGCAAAACATGTGGTGCACAACCCAGCCAGACAAGCCCTTAAGTGTGGATTTTATGGCAACGAGAATGGTCCAGCTGCCTTCAGGCGCTGTTTTGAAGTGGAGTGCTTGCTTGCATGTTCAGTTGAACACTCAGGTTGGATCGTTCAGGTCTTGGTAGGATTTGAGCCCTTCATCCCTGGGAAGAGATAGAAAAGGTAGAACAGTCAAAAAGTTCTCCATCATGGCTTGACTTTGCTCCCGTTACAAGCAGTGGTAAAACTCCATTTCCACTAGGCACTTCTGAAAGTCATGGCGTTTCTGATTATTTCCTCAGATATGTAAAGAAAGAACTTTACTAATAAATGTTTCCTTCCCCTTTCCTCAGTTGTTTTCACTTAAATACTATAGCATGAGGATCTAATCCCTTGATAAGATTTAGGAGAAAATGCTGAAAATACACCGTGGTGGGTGTGCTCCCCCACTCTAAGTAGTCACCCTTCCCTGTGACCTCAGTGCTCTGGCCCTGTGGTTATGCATGCAGCAGACATGAGAGTGATCCCTTGTTTATATCAGGAAAATGGCATCTGCTTCTAATCCATGTTATACTGCCCTGGCTAAGCCTGCAGGGTCTAGATAGTTTCCTTTATGCTTCTTTCATGCGTGGGACCATTTTAGCATCGTATTAATGGCTGGTTTTCAGTACGACACTAGCTCCTCCTCTTCAGAAGGCACAGGGAACTGATCTCCTTTGAAAATCCTTCCTGAAGGTCTCAACAAATGCTACTATTTAATTCAGTATTCCCCTTTTTTTGAGTGAGCCACACCAGTTCTCTCCTGCCTGGGCCAGAGTGCACCCAAGTGTCCGAGTGGGTTCAAGTGAGAGAAAGATGGGTGAAAAGCAAGTGAGGATAAAGGGCACCTGTGGAAATCTGTCTCTGCTTTGCTGTTTAGTATTCCTTCAGATAGTATTCACTTCACAGTTGTCCACCCGTGAGCAGATGGGCATGTTTATAGGAAGGGTATATAGTGATTCAGTCTAAATGACATTTTAAGATGTGAGCTGACAGGAAATGAGCAATATGAGACTTGCAGGGGAAAGTTTATAAGCCTCCAAACCTTTCACCTATAGGAGATTGTTGAATCTCAAGTGAGGTGGACTGCTCTGTTTAGGCTGTAAACAGAAAGCAAGTGAAAAATCAGATCATCCTCAAACAATGCCTTGTGTAACTTTGGAATAATCTTCCACTGCTTCTAACTCCGCTGTTTTTGACAACTCTGGATGTGTAATATTAAAATAGAATACTTCTGCTCTTGAAGGTCATTAAAGCATTCACTAGATTATAAATCTGTCACTTGTGGTGGTTACTAAATACAGTACTGAATATTTACACAAA